ACAAATATAAATATATAAATATATTTAAATATATAAATACATAAATATATAAATGTATAAATATATAAATATATAAATATATAAATATATAAATATATAAATATATAAATATATAAATATACAAATATATAAATATATAAATATATAAATATATAAATATATAAATATATAAATATATAAATATCACTCCGTCTTGAGGATCTCCTCGCGCCGGTCCCGCATCAGCTGCCGAAGCTCCCCCCCATGGGACAGAGGAGTGCAGCCTCTCAGCCTCCCGGAACAGCTCCTTAGCAAGTTCCCCCTGCTTGTCAGCCCACCTTGAGTGAATCTCGATGGGCAAGGGCTTCGTTTTGCCAATCTTGCCTGTGATGTAAGTGCGATGGGAAACCGCCACATAGTGGCAGGATTCGCGCATCATCACATACCTGCTGTTGCCGGGACTCGAAGAGGAGTCCTTATTGGGCATCGACTTGGCCTTGGGCAGCTGAGAGCACACGTGCACGGGCTGCTTGGGCTTATTGCCATCTGCAGATGCAGATCCGGCAGGAGCCTTCTTCGTCGTGTTCTTTTTTGCTGCAGCTGGTCGCTTCATGCTACCGCCATCGGCTGCTGCAGCTTCGAAAGTCTGCAGGAACAAGTTGGGAACATCCATAGTCTTCAGCCTCCCGTAGACTTGGTCTTGAGAAATCCATCAGTTCCTTTAAACACAGGATAACTCTTTGCAGCGCCATCTGCCATCTGAGTGATGTGCTTGCAGGAGGCCTTGCAAAAGTATTGCAAGGTGACGGCACTCGCATCATTCGAGCCCCAGGCCTCCTCTTCGGGTGCGGTCTTTGCCGGCTCCACTGGCACCAGCGCGGCAACCTTCGAGCTGCTGCTGCTCCCGATCGAGATTGGTGGCGAAGCAGGAGCCTTCTTCGACGAAGCTTGCTCCTCAGCATTCTTGCTCGCCAAACCATACATGGAAAAATAATCCGTAGCCGTAGACCTGAAAACCGAGACCTCGAATTTGGCAAGCTTGGGAGGCCCAGGAGAAGTCTGAGACCTCTGCCTCTTGCAAAGACTGGCCGTACAATGAATGCCTGCACATCCTTTCCACATGTGCAGGCTGCCCGCAGATCTGTCTGGGCTGTGCACTCTCTTCAAGCGGGGGCTCGAGCGGTCCTCCTGGTGAGAGTCATCCGCATATCCCATCTTCTGGAGACACTCGCAAATCCGCTTGATAGCAAGATGTGTTGTCTTACCCGTCGTCACGGCCTTCATCTTCATCCGCACGAAGCTGAGGGAGTAGGACACCTGTCGCCCGAACATGTCCACATCGGAGGCAGACTCCTTCTCGAACACTTTCTGTGCACAACGAGACAACTGCTTGGCCACCAATCTCGGCGACAACTTCAAAGAGTCCACCAGGAAAGTTTCGTATCCCGCTACGACCATTTCCATATCGGTGTCCTTATATCCCGTGCCAAGATTTCAAAGGTTGCTCGTAAGCAGCTTCTGCACTTGCTCGTCGCTGGCAGTGTTTCGAGCCGGTATGTGTGCTTGCTCACGTGNNTTGCATGCTTGCTACATTGCATTGCACATGTAGCATGCAGGCTCGCAGCTGCCTGAGGTGTCCGGACATCGGACAAAACTTTTAAGAACGGGGCCCCTCGTGTAAGCCCTCTAGACGAGGCTCGGGTTCCTTTAACCTTTGTGGAGTTTTAGCTCTGCTCGCTCCATTCCCCCGTGCGAGATAGGGGGGGTGGAGCGCATGGTTTCCAGGCAGGTGCTTGCAGTTATTTTGGCTGCATTTGGTGCCATTTCTGGTCCATTGATGTCGGACCGTGCAGCCTCCCCGGAGGGGGCTTTATCCTCGCCTGCCTCGGCTATTGTTGTCAAGCGATTCAAGAAGAAGCCGTTACCGGTGGTTGCATCGCAGGAATCACCTGGACAGGTGTCCGCGGAGGACCCTCTTCATTGTGCTTTGGATCAGTTTGCATCAGGCACAGATAATCCGATTGTGGTCCCGCCCTTGGAAGTCGTGCATAGCCCGGAGCCTGCACTGGTTGAACCATCCGCGGATGTACCTTGCACGGACGCATCACTGGTTTCTTCACCTGCGCAGGATTTTGTCGACGATACATTGCTTTCTGAGTTTGAAAGCCCAAGCCAGCCCGCTGAACCTACATGGCCGTTTTTGTCAGAGCAGCAGTTGGATGATGATCTGCATTCCTTTCAGGTGATTACAGAACCCTCACAGACTGATGTGCATTCGGCTGGGCTTGCAGCGTACTGGGATGAGGATCTGCATTCTTTTCAGGTGGTTGCAGATCCCTCACAGACAAATGTGCATCCCGCTGGGCTTGCATCTGCGGAACAGCGTGTTGGCCGTTTGGACACGTCTCGCCTGCAGGTATCACACCAGACTGCATCCCCATTTTCTCCATTGAGGTGGGGACCGTTGTTTGCGCCAGTGGCTAGCCCTGAGGTTGTTTTGCCAGCCTCTGATGCATCACAACCTTCGGGAACTCGGCCGGCACCCAAAGCGCGGCCGTCTGTGCTGGTACATTGCACCTCCAGGCCGAAGAGTTCGCATCGATACGCTCCGAGGGACAGTTTAGTTTTGCGGCACCGACCTTCCTTACCTGCATTGCGATCATCAGGTCGTATACTTGCAGGCCCGCCTAAGTGCAGGCCCGAGCCGTCACCGAGGGGATATTACGCCGTGTACCCCTCGGAGTCTTTGCGACAGCGTGCATCTGAACAGGGGGCAGTGTGTAAGTCGTCTTCGCCTTGCATTGCGCAGGAGACACCTACGCCTACATTGCAGCCAGCACCGTCTCGACCGGTCAGGTCTGCTGGGATGTCCACTAAACGTTGTTTGCAGGTGGAGGACACTAGCATTGAGTCCGGTCCCAAGAAGGCGGTGAAGCATTCGTCACTCCATGCTAGCCCATGGTCCAAAGCTCTTACATTGTGGAGAGAGCTGTGTGTACTGACATCGGGCATCTCATCATTACTACGTGAAGTGCTTTCCAGCCAAAATTCCTCTGCATTGCTGGAGCAACTCTTGAGACGTGTGTCAGATACTACTGCATTGAGATACATTGCTGTGTTATGGGGCCTGTTTACGACCATTTGCGACCTCCAATTGCTGGTAGATTCCATTTCGCAAGTCCAGTTGTTGGATGTATTTCAACATTCTCGAAGTCGGGCAGCTTCCGTCCATTCGACCAATGTCCTTAAGGCGCTTCGTTGGTTTTCGTCGACTGTAAAACCAGACTCCTTCCCTGCTTCCCTTCATTGCATGATGGTTTATTCCATTCGAAATCCTGGCACCCGGCGACTTCCAAGCGCGAGGCGGTCCCACTGCCGCTTGCATTTTTACATTGGCTTGAGGTCTCGTTGTTGTTGGGTCGTTTCTATCCTCAGGATACATTATTCTCCGGCGCGGTGCTACTTTGTATCTGGAGTAGCTTGAGGTTTGGAGATGCACAACACCTCCATTTACAGGACCTCTACATTGATGCCGACAGCATCCGCGGGGTCGCGTACCGCACCAAGACTAAACGTTACGTGCCTTTCGGCTGCCTAGTGTGCGGCCTCTGCAAAATGCCGCTGCATCAGTGCTGGGTATTTCACTGGTTACATTCCCTGGCCTCGCAGGTTACTTTATGCCGGGATACATCAGATTTTCCTGATTACATCTTTCTGTCATTGACGGCCGGAGAAGCCGGAGAAGCCAGGCCGATATCATACGCGGAAACGCTGTCGCAGCTTCGACAGCTTTTGCTGCGGTGGGACCGGATCCCGCCCGAGCAATGCCTACAATATACTCTACATTCGATGAAGGTCACCCTACTTGCATTTTGGAGGCAGGCAGATTTTTCATTGGAATCTCGGCATTTACAAGGGCACCACGAGTTCGCCTCCTCAAGTACATTGTATGGTCGTGACGACATCGCGCCTATCTTGACCACTCAGTTTTCATTTGTGGAACGTGTTCATTCCCGTTGGCGCCCTCGAACGCCTGTCCTTCGTGGAGTTTCTTATGTTGCATCTGAGCCCGAGGTGGTCTTAGACTCCGAGGATATGGGGTTGGTGCCTTACATTGCATCAATCCTATTCTTCCATGTCTCGTACCCAGGCACGGTGCGGGCCCCGACCTCATCCGCGGCTGGTCTTACTGCATCCACGGTTGCTGGTGTGACTGACACTTTTCTGGAAGGGTCGCCGCAGGAGATTCAACCAGCCGTTGCATCCTCGGCCGTGGGCAGCAGTGCGCCAGCCATTGAGTGCAAACTTGAGATTGCTCCATCAGGCGACACTACACTTGAGGAGAAGACGTCTGAATCGGACGGCTCGCTACATGGCTCCATCGGCCCTGCGGACGAGGTTGCATTTCTGTGTGCGGAAACCTCTGATATTTTGCACGCGTCCATTCAGGGCAGGCCGGCATGTAGTTGACGCGGAGCCTTTCGGGTGATCACTCATCCATCTGGGAAATCTCGGCTATGCCGGGCGCGTGCATGTGCTGCATTATTTGCGGCACTAGACTGAGCTTTCTGGCGACTGAAGCTGGTCACTAAAAGCATGGCATCAGAACCGGCAGTGCATTCGGTCTTGTTTTGCATCTCATTGCGATGCATCAGGGTGATTCCGGCTTGCGCCTGCCGGCACATCGGCTCAGCCCGCCACAAGGTAGAGCGTTCACATGTCGGCACATTTCATTACGTTAGGCTTGCAGGTGACAACGATTCCCTCTCTACATTTCAATGCGCTTCCGGAAGATTTTTCTCAGCACTTGGCTCCCGGTGGTAGGGCTTACATTTTGATATAGATTTTCCAGCTGCGATGGAAAATATCCGTGATCCATCCGAGGTCCGAAGTGCCCTTCAGTTCTTGTACGATACAGACGTACATCATCTGTCGTCGGTGATCCGTGGCGGACCGGACACAGGACGCTCGAAGTTGCTTCTGTCCCTTACATTGAGTACAGACGCAAACCTGCGCTTCCATTACGAGAAGGGTGGTGGAAAGGGAGCTACATCAAGCTGGACGACAGACAACAGTACATCTACGGATCCGGCGCATGAGCAACAGTCAGCTCCCTCCAATCCATTACCTTCTCAGGCCGCTGGCGTCGACTCCACTGCACCCGCAACGACTACATCGACCTCGGCGGCGGACTCATCTAGCACTGACACTCCAGCGCAAGCCGCTGCAAGCCACGGCACAGGTTCGAACACGGCTCAGTCGCCTCCATTGGACCAGGGCAATGACGCTGGCCAACCTGCATCTACGGGCCAAGCGGGGGACTCCATTACATCAGGCAACAGGGGCCTGAGACAGGTCGTTCCGCCTACATTTGCCCCGGTCCCGGGGATGGCAAGTGCAGAATCAGCGCACGCCAAATGGTGTGCTGCCGTGAACCTTGCGCCTCGTGCGCTGGACTGTGTGGTTATTCATCAGAACTCCCGCAGGACAGTCACTTTCTGAGTGACGACCAAGTACATTTATGCAAAACGCTGCTATAGAGACCAAAAGCAGCCTACATTGCACTCTACATTCGACGATGGCAATGCGGGCAACGACGACACCTGGTCGGAGTGGCGTGACAATGACTGGAACTCTGGTTGGAATGGTGGAGGATATTGGTCTTTGCGGTACTGATACATTTCATTGCCTTCTCGACCCATGGCGGCTGCTCTATTTTCCATGCATTCCTCTCTCTGAGGCCTTCAGAAGAGGATGTTGAGCATTCCTGGCGCCTGGATGCCGCGGCTGTGGACTTTTCTTGGAGTCTTCAGTCCATCTTTGCATCCATGTAGGCCGTACATTTCGGCATACCCTTACTCGCTCGGCACGGGCGCGACAAAAGCAGACACGAGTTACATTACCATGCGTCGGTGTGCTGGCATCTGCACTTGTGAGATGTGTTATCGGACGGTGCGGGCGATTGCACTCTTCGTTGGCCACATGTCGGCTCTGAGCTTTGGAGAGCCTGTGCACATGCGCTTGCATTGTCCATTCGGTTTTGACTGACTCAGAGTGACTTGCAACTACTTTCGAATCAAACGTAGTCCGTTAGGATCTCTCGCCCACGCGGTGTCTTCAGGGGCTCAGTTTTGGCAGCTTTTGCCCTGGCATTTGCATTTGGCACACTGGTCCAGGTAGATCATGGCTACTCTGGAGACCATTTTTAAGGAGGAGAAGATCCCTGCGGAGCTCTCAAGTGCATTGGTTCGCATGCTTACTGTCAACAGTTTTGCATGTTTGGCTTCCAGTGCTGACCAGCTAGAAAACGCTGTTCGCGATGCTTTGCCTGGGACCTTGCGTTCAGCTCTTAACCCTGTCACGATTGCATGCCTCAAAGCTGCGTATCATCGTTGCTTGACAAGTGTGGTTTCGCTATCGACATCACAGAATGCGGCGGCACAGTCCATTCCTCAGTCCTTGGCTGCGCCCTCCACGTGGACGGACACCTTTCCAGCGAAGCTCAGCACTGAGAGGGTCAGTACATTGAAAACAAAATTCGAAGCTGATTGTCCATCAGAAATTCTAGACCCGTCAACAATGCCTTCATCGCGTTTGTTGGCTATGGTCAACAAACAGTGTCAAGACAAACATTACATTTATGTGTCGTGGAAGCACCGCATCAGCGAAGAGAAGCTCGAGGAGATGCATTCCACTCGCACCCGCAAGATTGCCAGGTTCGATGATTTCATCTTTGATGAAGTGCCTTCTCGAGAAATCCCAGAATCGGGGATCAGCCAAATGTTCCTTTTGCATTTGCTCGATTTGGTGGCCTTTGCATTCTGTTTGCTGGAGACTGCACATTTGTCATCGTTCCGTTCATACAGCAAATTATTTCTGAAGCTTGCATTTCAACGCCCTGCGGCTGAGTCAGGTCTCCGATCGCCAAATGTACATGAAATGCAATCCGCCGACAAAGAGGCCTGGCGTTGTATCTCAGACCTTGCCAACTCTGGCTGGTCGCTAGACGATGCATTGCACGAGGTAGTGCAGGTGCGTTGCATCCTACACATGTACCTCCAGCCCCGACCGGTTGCGGCGAAAATCAAGCCCCCTTTGAAGCCTCCAGGCCCACCTTTCATTGCTGACAAAGGTGGCAAGTGGCAAGGGTCGCGAAAACAAGGGCAAAGGAAAGGGCAAGTTGAGGCAAGACGGTCCCAAGTGGTGCATTACATTCACTGAAGCGGGGGTTCAGAAACAGATGTGTAAACGATGGAATCTCCGCTCAGGGTGCAAGCTCGAAGATTGTACATTTGTACACGGATGAACAATCGATGTGAACGGCAAGCCCTGTGGAAAAAAAACCATCCCGCGTACTTGCATAAGTCCTGAAGGGGCCCGGATGCCACTGAGGGAGCTGCATCTGGGCCGGATTTTCCCTCACACATCTGCTGGCCGCACCTCTACATCATCGGATGAGATTTTGGAAATCCTGCAGGGCACATTCCTTCAGGGTATGAAGAAATGGAGGGCCCATGCAATATCAAGTACATCACCAGAGGCTGCCTACTACAACCTCGGTGCATTTAGCCAATCGGTCCGATTGGGCTTGACGCACGCTACATTGCAGTACCAACGCGTGCTCTGCCGCCTAAATTCGTGGCTTTCCATGCTCTTTCCCTTAGGCACGTGGAGCTCGATATGCATCTCGCACAACGAGCTCCTTCGGCTACATCGAGACTCGACAAATGAACCGAATACATTGAACTATACGGTTACACTCGGTCCATTTACAGGGGGCGGGCTACTGTTGGAGTCCGCGTCCGGCGAGCATTGCCATTTCGTTGAAGAACTGAACCGCAGCCTCAACTTTTGCATGGTTGATACTAAAGATCAGCCGTTTGCATTTGACGGCAATCTCTGGCATGGGACCGCTCCATTCCAGGGAGACAGGTGGGTGATCACAGCCTACACTTGCAGAAACTTGGACAAGATGCAGGACTCTGATGTTCAGGCACTTCGTTCATGGGGTTTTCCTCTACCGCTGACTGATACATTGCTATCGTCTGTGGCATCCAGTCGGCTCTCGGCATCTTTGGAGCTGCCATCGAAATTCTGCTTGTGGCTTGGTTCCCTTGCGCCGTCAGCTCGGGACATGCTTGCCTCAAAGTCAGTGCCTTTGATTCCAGTTTTGGACTTGGGCGACATTAAATTGAGAAGGCAAATACTTCGCTGTGCGGCAGAGGGAGTCCTCTCTACCGTTTTCATTCGGTTTTCAGACAAGTGGACTGCAGAGCACAATGGTTGGGTGCTACAGCTTTGCAAGCTTGCTTTTTCGTGTGGGACGACTGTGCATTTGGATATCTCCGCTTGGGACAGGTGCTGGTACGACCCGCTTTTCATTCACTGCGTAGCGACAGGTTTTCGTCATGTGGTCCAGATTCCCCCGTGTGGATTTCAGGGCTCTGAAGGTCGCCCGTGGATTATGGTATCCTCCTCGGAAGCCTTTGCCTCCTTGGGTGAGGTGTGCACGTGCAAACACTGCATTCATGTTTCAGGCACTCCAGAATATCCAGTTCCATTGGTCGAGGCCTTTGGCAAACTTTTCCTGTCTGTCGACGGCGTTGCAGGAGTACATGATGTTACATTTTCTGTTCAGGATGCCTGGAACGCCATTCCATGTAAGTCAGTTGACGACCCACCACATGCATGGGTCGATGGTGGGGGTTTACATAGTCGTCCTGACTGGAGCGGCAAGGAACGAGAAGGCAAGGACATTATGAGAGATCTTCGCCATGCATTGATGTCCTTTTGTGGCGACTCACATTTGCCCTCTCGCCTCAGGTCGAGATTACTGTCTCCATCGGAGACGAGCATCTTTTCGTCAGAGGACATATCGCAGCTACAATGCATTTTTGGTGACTGGTTACGGGCACATGACTGCAGCGAGGTTGATTGGTCCATTCCTGTCGACCAACCGTACTGCCTACGTGCACTGTCAGCACTTTCTACATCCTTGCATGATTGTGATATGTCGCTGTTTGGTGCATTGCTTCAAGGTGTACCCACAGGCTTTAAACGAGATATTCCATTGTCAGGGTGTTTCGCGCCATCCTGTCGTGCTGTGGAAGAGGATTCCCTGTCCATTTCTATGGAAAATTGGCAGGGGGCCGAAGCGGATCCACTCCTCCTCGAGGAGTTGGTTCAAATTGAAGTGGACAGCGGTTGGCTTCGCTGCATTGATTCATTGGAGGATGCTAGAAAGATCTGGCCCAATGTGGCAGTGGGGAAACTGAACATCGTCCATTCCGCAGGTCGCAAGCCACGACTCGTTGTGGACTCGTCCATATGTGGCACGAATTCTGCATGTCTCATTCCGGAAAGGACTTCATTACCCGCACTGCAATCTGTTCAGTGTTCATGGCCACTGCGCGGTCGGCACGAGCCTGTGGCAGCATGGTCCATTGATGTGAAATCGGCTCATAAGTCCATTAGAGTGCGCGAGTCCGAACAAGGGTTGCTTGGCGTTCGAGTGGGCCCGAAGTTCTTTTTCTACAAGGTCTGTCCATTTGGGGCAGCTTTCAGTGCATTCTGGTTTGCTCTCCTCGGTGCATTTTTTGTGCGAGCATTGCGTCGGCTTATTTATATTTCTCATTTCCTTGCATTATATGTTGATGACTTCCTTGGTTATCAGTCGGCTACAGTTGCAGAGATGTCTCTTTGCATTACCTTATGCTTTTGTGGTGCTTTTGGCATTCCATTATGTTGGAAGAAGCTACAGTTTGGCTGCTGCATTCGTTGGATTGGTTGGGAATTGGACTTTGACATGGGCTGTGTTTCCATTCCCACAGACAAGTTGGAGAAGTTGGCCGAGTGCATTTCATTGGCCTTGCGCGGCAAGTACACTGATCGCCAAACATTGAGCAAAATTTGCGATATGTTGCAATGGTTGTTCAAACTTTTTCCATTAGCTAAACCTTGGTTGCGCGCCTTGTATCAGGACCTGCGCACACCAAGGGCTACAAACTACAAGGACATTTGGCTTCGCATTTCTGATCCTGCTTCTAAATGTCGTGCTCTGTCCCATGCCTCCAGAGACCTCCTACATTTCTGGCTTGGATGGGCCAAACTTCCACCTCTCTGGCGAAGCCTTCGCCCCCAGCAGCCATTACAGGTGGAAGCTGCTGCTGATGCCATGGGCAACGGTTCTACATTTGCGATTGGTGGTTACGTTACACTTCCCTCTGGCGAATTTTGGTTCTCTGAGTGCTTTTCAGTTTCAGATTTTGCATTTGCAGACCTGCCTTTGAAATCTGAGGCTCACAAAGACATCAGTTGTTACGAGTGCCTTGGACAAATTGCACTCGTATGGTTGCTCAGTACATTGCATCCCATGTGCCGGCTTTCGCTGAAACTTCGTACATGGTGTGACAACTCTGGCGCGGAATCTGCATCAAACAAGATGTTCACCACTTCATCGCCATTTGCTGCATTTGTACAGAGGTTGGCCCCCTACTTTCCAGTTTTACAGGTATTCATCTGGATGTTCAGCATATACCAGGTGACAAGAATGTTGAGGCGGATTATTTGAGTCGCTGGAAGCCTCCTGCCTTCCAGGTGGCAGCCATCGTTTCGACGACGATTTACATTGCGACAGCTTTGGGGAGCAGCGCCCCAGCTGTCCATTTCTCCGAAGTCGTGGAAGCCTTCTTTTCAGCTTCCGAACTGCTCCATTCTTGGGGCAGCTTTGTAGCACTTGCAGTGTTTTCCAGCGAGTCACACGTTTTCATTTGGAGGAATTGCTGCGCGACTCACTTCCATTCACTGCCAGATTTCAGCTTGGGGAAGAAACATGCCGATCCATTAGTCGGACCGACCAAGTCGGTCGATCATTACATTCCAATGGATCGCATTCCCGGCAGTGAAAATGAAGTGATGTCC